GCAGTTTTGTTAGAAGAAGAGCAAAGAGATCTTAGTGAAAAGAGGATGTGAGAAGGGCAGGGCCAGGAAAGATATAAATGTATACATGCTCTTGCACAATGCTGAGAATAGAGGGAAGTCAGAAGAACCACTAGATAAAAATGCCGGTGCCTTCATGCAGAGGCCATCAGTGCCACTGCAGCTTATTGACATGGATTATACAAAACCTTGCTGTAAGCACTGATACTTTCACTATGCCTCTTCTTACAACAAATCATTTCCCTTTTTCATTTCCCTCCTTATCCCTGTCCTGATCCCCATCTTGCTTCCTCTTTATTATTCTCAGTTATGCAGGCTTGTGATACGTATCTCTTGGCAGACTTGCTGTTGCTTCTCACATCCCTTCAATCCCCATTAACATTTCATTTGGCTAAGGCCCTGTCTTCTGTCTCTTCTTTGCCTTTACAATTGATGGGTGAGCATTCTGCTCTCTTGTTCTTTTTAATTCCTGGTAGTCTGTTTTCTGTCTTCTTTACTTGACCAAAGCTGTTATCCTCAAAATGGCTAACTGAGTTTCCTCTCCAAGATAATTGGCAGCCTCTTGAGTAAATCATGGGTTTTTTATTTTTCCTCTCAGGAACGAGAAGTCCATTCTGTTCCCAGATAGGAAGCTTTTCCCCATAAGCATCTCTCCCGTTGTCTCCCCATAAGAGACTCATGCTTTGCCCAGGTACCATCTCTCTCATCCCTCTCCATTCCTCCTTAGGTGTTCTGCTGTTTCAGACTTGAAAAATCTTTCCCTTTCTCTCCATGTACATACCTTTCTATGTATAAACGTCAATGTTCATTTCTCTAAATAGATGTGTTTACAAACTGTTGCTATTAGAACAGGTGATCTTTTTTTATCATAACTTAGTAATGTTTTACAAAGGATTGTAAGAGCCTCAAGGTGGCTTTCAGGAAAATTATTTTATTCATTAGCCCTTTCAGAAATTGAACAGTTCCAGAAATGAGGCAGTAGTTCTCAACAGTGGATGTTTTTAGACCTTGGTCAGTCCACTGACATGTCTCACATTAATCTATGTCTCAGTCTTTTCTACCAGCATCCCAATGACTGATGCCACATCAGTCACGAGAATTGCACTGGAATTGAATCCAGCACGTGGAATGCCCAAAGTAAGGCAAAGAACACTATATGCACTCTAGCAAGCAAATGCTTTCAATGCATATTTATAAGCTGCATAAGCATTTACCTTTAAACATACCAGATGTGTAACCTAGCATTGTAAAACTAACAGATTCTTGTAAGAAGAGACTTAGTACTTTGTAACCCTGTGATCCCTCACTGGAAAGACTAATGTTAAAGCACTATGGAAGCTGGTAATCTTTCCAGAAAGAGAGGTGATGGACTTGCAGATAAGTTGGAGACCTCATGATGGCAACACATTGGCATCGTGTCTAAAAAAAACAAAAAACAAAAAACAAAACCAACAACAAACTCCGCCCTAGCAAAACAGAATCATGTGTGCCAGAATCTTACAGACAGCGTGTTTCTCTAAGAGAACAAGCATGTTCCACATGCTGATCAGGACTTTTAGGTACTGTTGCACCTAGAACTGCTATTGTAGAAAATTTTTCTGTTTACTTTAGTCTGAGTAGGACCTGAAGTTTCTTCATATAGCTGATACACTTTGCTACAAATTACATGTGGCAGGAAATCTTAATGTTTCGACACTAAGGTGTTCAGCCGCTCATCTGATGTGACATTTTCTTAGTCTATGGATGGTGGAAATTTCAATTTTTTCTTATTAAGAGAGATTGATGAAAATTACTGTTTTTCCAGTACTGGGTGCTCTGTTTTTTTGCCTTAAAGTTAATATTGCCACTGAAAATATCACTGAGTACGTCATCATGCACAGAATTCATATTGCCAGCTCTGACTTCCCTGCTCAGCATTTTTGCTCTTTCTTCTTTTCTCCCCTGATGCTTAGCCCCACTTTATATTCTTTTTTGATTGCTCTCTTGTTTCTCCACTCTCTTGCAGATCACCCTGTGTGAAAGGGAACATGCTCTCTCCTGCAGCAGACATATGCATGCCCCTTCCAATAGCAACCAGATTCTGTACTGAACTGGACTTAGTCAGATGCAGGGCAGGCATCGTTGAGACCTTCTGATCTTTCCATATTTTCCATGTTCGTGTCCTTTTGCTGAATTTCTTCTTTCTTTTCTTATCTTCTTTGCAGATGGATCTGAAAGAGTGAAGAAAATAATTCTATTTGTTTTGTACACATGACAGCACTTTGGTTCATTATTATGGTTTCCTGGATGTTTGTCTCAGTTCTTCTCACAAAGTAGGAAGAAAGAAAATGCACTAGGATAATGTGGTCCTAGAATAACCAAAGCAAGCAGGGAACGTTGGGTAGATGCAGTATCTTGAAAGAAAAGGCTTAATATTTCTATTGCATGTGTTTTGAGGTGACTCTATCTCTTTAACTGCAAGCTTGCAAAAGCCTTAGAGTAAATGATGTTTTCAACATTGTTTGGTCTTCATGATAGAGTTCATTTATGGAATGAGCTTTCTTGAACAAAGAGGTTTGCCAGTGTGGCTTCTAGGAAGCTGAGTGACTCAGAAATCACCCACTTCATCTGGTGGGTCATGTGAATGGCGTAATGAAAGGTTGATTTGTCTGAGTAGATGCAGTCACTTACGCATGTGGTAAGAAAGTCAAATCACTTGGTTACATTCCCTTTGGTTGAAAGAGTTTTGCAGTTTTGGAGTTGGCTGTGATCCAAAGCAGTTGTGCTGGGGATTTGCCTGGTCTCAGCCTTTGGAGGGCTCAACTCTTAGTGCGGTTATCTGCATCTGTGCGGGTCAGCAACCGTAAGTCAGGACCTCCTGGTCTCCTGAAATTAGAGGTGCTAAACTGGTTTGCCCTGTGTAAGTGTAGATAGGTAGTATCTACTAAAATGCAGAAGTATAAACTGTGTCTTTCTCCAGCGTCAGGTAGGACAAGCTACACTGATGCAGACTGCAGCTTCCAGTATGGAAAACCCATAGAAATGAGTTTGTTCCAGTAGCAGGTCACCTAGAAGAGTTTGTGAGCTGGCAGGGCTCAATTATAGCTTGTCAGGGGAGTGCTGGGGAGCATTTGGAAAATTTGCCATCTTGGGAAATTGTGAGAATCTTGTAGCAGCAGAACTGGCACCTTTACAGAACTGTTGAAGAAGGGCTTTGTCTTTTGTTTTTACTAATATGACTGTAATCAGAATCTAAGAACATTCTTCCAAATATCCCTTGACCCGCTGAAGCAACAATATGTTTTACCTGTTACTGGAGAGTGCCAGTAATTTGTATTGATCATGCAAATTCTCATTGTCTATGTGGAGGTGATTCAGTTGTGATCTTGCAAAAAATCTTTTTGCTTTTCCCATGCTTTTTGCATGGGAAATCATATGTGCAACATTCATTTAGGTACTATTTAGGTATGAACTTACTGTTGAATTGTAATTACAATATAACTTCATGCCTGCTATATGGTATATTAACTGCAATTAAAAAAAGACCTGTAGTAATACAACAGAGAGCAATCTGAT